TTATTATTATTGAGAAAGAACCCCGCACCAAAAGTATCACAGGAGGCTTACATGGAAGTAAGCGTGAAGCACACATCACAAAGAAGAGAAGGATTACAACACAAACATCCATGTCTTACCCGGGATTCGAACCCAGACCCTACGGCATGGCAGTCAGCGTCACTAACCACTATACCGGAAGGGCGACACTTTCAATATTTGCGACCCAATTTTCAATCATAATTTTCATCCCCCCCATATAAGAATAATGTATTTTATGCAATAATAATGTACTTGATGCTAAAGCTGCTACTAAACAATCTTAATTATAAACCGTATAAATGATCGATTAGTATTAAATTTTGTATGTGTATTACTTTTAAGTAATAGATGTTTTAAGAAAGTTACTTTTACGTAATTGGGCAAGTATGATATTGCTTTTTCTTTCTAATTTCTAAATTGGAATAGATTGCAATAAATATGCAACGTGTATTTTAATTTTCAATTCCTACTATTAGTTCACTCTCTCCCGATATATATATATATATATATATATATAAAAATTCTTTGTTCAAATTTACAATCATTAAAAAATACTTTCTATTCATCCATTCAAGTTTAAATACATTTTTTAAAACTTGTAGTGGATGACACTTCATCTTAATACAGTTTTTTTTCAAATATTAATTAACTAATAATTAGTACCAAACAAAACTAATAATCCAACAGCATATATAGAAAGGAAAATCGTTCGTTGTGTCCCTGTAGCGCAAGGGATAGCACGTTGGACTTCTAATCCAAAGTGTGGTTCAAATCCCACCTGGGATGGACTAATTTCTGAGAGAATGTGATTTTATTTACGGTACTGTGTTTTATGAGAATAATTAAATGTATTGAATGAATAAATAGTAACAAATAAACAAACAAAAAATTGTCCAACAGCATATGTAGAAAGGAAAGAGGAAAATTGCAAGGAAAATCGCTTTCTATTTTTTCACTCAATATTGTGATTCTGTCCTATGTATATACATATTTATATTAATTGTGACTATTAATAAAAAGTAACTAAAATAAAATTTTTCTTTGTTGATCTAAGTCGAAATTGACGGGGAATCCACACAGGATAGAGGGTTGCAAACCACGTTTATTTCGAGTAATTTACAAAAACATTTATGAAAGGTGTGATTTATAGGGAAATGAAAATGGGTAATAAGGGTAAGAAATATATTTATTTGACGTAAAGCATGTTTACAATACGAACAATGCATCACAGCTCGACGTCAGAAATACAACCGGATTTGTTTGAACGCTTCCAACAATCCATCGTCCATCGATGTTGGCTGTGCTGTGACCTACGCGACTGCAACTTCTAACAATTTCTGTGGCGTACGCTTTTCGTTACATTTCTGACGCCAAGCTGTGATGTATTGTTCGTATTGTATAAACATGCTTTACAACTAATAAACGCATTTCTCGCCTTTTATTGTCCCTTTTCTCGTCAATCAATATCACACCCTTCATAACTATTTTTGCGAATTACTCCGACTAAACGTGGTTTGTGACTTCATGTTCTGTGTTAATTTATCGTCCCAATGCTGCCTAAAATCATTAACTCCGAATTTGTCAATCGAATTCATTAACACCCTGTACTTAAATTGAGACTTAAAATTTTCAGATTGGAGAGTGAGATGCCGGCCCCAGGTGTTGCCCCTTATCACTTTTTCCCGGGGTTTAAAAAATTGAGGCTCATGCCAATAGCCCCTCGGGGAAATTTTAAAATCGTGTTAAAAACCAAAACCCCCGGCCCCCTTAAAGTAGAAAACGCATCTAATAATATAGACAGTGGATGAATGCGGAAAATTTTTCCGTAAATTTTCTTCATTTTATTAATCTGCTTTGGGGGTTTTAAAATTTTTAATTTTATTTAACACCAGTTTCTTTTTTTTTCAAAGGGAAAAATTTGGGCATTTTTTTTAATTTTCCCTTTTTTTCTTGATTTTATAAATTTCTTAACAATGTTTTTAAAGGTCCCCAAAAACAAATCTACCTTTTTTTAAAGAATTCCTTTTTGTACGCAAACTAAGCTTTTGGGTTTTTACGAAAAACAATTTTAAAGGAAGAAGACACATAAGGAATAAGACATATGTTAAGCCTTTTTCCGAAAAAGAACGCTTATCAGGTTACATAAACAGACAAAGCAGACCAACAGGTATCTTAATCATAATATTTCCGGAAAATATAGCTGCTCTATAAAAACCTAACCAAATCTCTACTCATATAACTTGAAAATACATTCTTTTTTTAACATAAATATACAGTCACTCAAAAAAGTATTGGGATTTTTGGGAATGATAATTTAAACCATTTATAAAAATATTTATAAATTTTTTCCCAAAAACAAAATAATTAAGTAATATTTTAACATTTGGTGTTTTTACATTATAAAAGGGGAAAATTTTATTATATTATAGAATTATAATTTGATCTAGCTTTTCAAAAATAAAATTTAAAAGGAAAAACTGGTGTAAAAAAGTTTTGGGGAAACCCCTTTAAAAATTTTGAAAATTTAAAAAATAAAAAGCGCATCAATGGGAATTTTAAATTTAAAAACTATTTTTTTAGACTGGGAAGTTTAAACAAAATTTAACAAAATAAGATTATTTATAAAAAAAATGGTGAGAGAAAAGGGGGAAATGGTTTTTGGATAAAAGAAATTTCGGAAAAAAGTCATTGGAAAGAGGGAAATCAATTCCTCTGTATAGGACAAATATTAAATTGAGTAAGTCTACTGTTTTAACATCATTAAAGATTGAAAAAAACAAATAGGGGAAAAGAATTAAAGTTCAGGGCTTTCAAGGATATTTAATGAAGAAAGAGAGGTGGTTTGGGCGGAAATGCACATTAAACCCAAGAACTAGTGCTTTAAAAAAGATTTAGCTTTTAAAAAAGTGGTTCAAAAAAATCAGTAAATATTGAAACTAGGGGGAAAAAGTTTTGGAAAACAAAAATTATCATGGCAGAGTACCCCGGAAAGCCCTACATCCAAAACAAAGAGAATAACGCTTTGGTTGGAAATTTTCTAAATGTATGTAAGACAGCCGAAAAAATTGGGAAAAATAAGTTAATGAAAACAAAAAATAACATTTCCGGATCGGATGGCAAGCAAAATGTTTGGTGGAAATCCTCGCAATGCATGGTAAAATTTATGGCCTACCGTCAAATATGGAAGGGAAACCCCAAATTTCTGGGGGGCCGGAAGCTCTGGTTTTGGAAACTTAAATTTTTTTGACGGTTTTAAATGAATAAATATGTCTATCTTTACATTCCCGCTTTTTAACAAAGTGAAGCAAGCGGGAAAACTCGGATAGTTTAAATTGGTACCAAAAATAATGACCCGTGACAAGTAAAATTTTTCAAGTAATGAGTCCCCGCCACCCCCACGGGTTTTTAAAAATACTGCCCCAAAGTCCCGACCTTTTAAACCCATTGGAAAAGGGAGAATTTGCAGCAAAAACTATATGAGCAACAAATTTTTATCAAACGGGTTTTGGGAAAAAAATTTGGTCGAAGAGTGGACCAAAAATCGATAGATCGTTTTTCAAAAAAATTGGGTCCAATCCATTCCAAAAGGGGTTTTTGAGGGGAGGCCTAAAAGGGGGACCCAACAAGATATTAATTTCTGTTTGAAATTTTTTTTTTTAATTTATTAAGGCCCCCAAAACATTTTTTAACTCATTTCTTTAAATCATTTTTTTTTTTTAATTTTAACTAAAAATTGATTAATGTATGAGTTTTGTTCCAAAAATTTTTATTTTTGTATTTAAAAAAAATAACGTTTTTCTTCTTTTTTTTTTTGGGTTCCCTTTGTATGTTTAAGTAAAATATTACGATAAAAATCTATGAACTGGTAGTGTGTCCCAATACTTTTTTGACTGACTGTATATGCTTCATGAGGACTAAATATTTAAATGACAGAATCATTTTTAGATTTTCTGACTGATCCGGCTTTTATTTGGGGGGATTTTAATTTTCAGTAATCAATGTAAAACCTCTCTCGTAACTTTAAATCTAGCAATGATTTTGTTGAATGGTTACCCGATTTTTATTTTGTACCTAATACTACTGCTCCAACAGACAGAAAGGAAATAAGTACAACTTGTATAATCCCGGAATTTTCCCGTCATCGTTTTTCGGCCTTGTATTATAGCGTTAAACAGATCGGTATGTACCAAAACCTTTTTTTTACTTCCAAAACGAAGATCATACATGAAATTTCTCCCTAAAAATATTTTGGGATGGGACAAGCGGATAAAATCGCAAGATTGGCAACGGATTTTGTTGTTTATTTCGAATAGATTGTCCCCCAAACATTCATTCTATTGTAATACAAAACATTTTGTAGAAAACAAATGAAACATTGTTTTTCAGAAGATATTTTGAAATTTTGAGTAATATTCCGATTTTAGATGTTCCATTCAATTGAACAAAAACACAGAAGACATGGAATTTTGAGCATCCTGGTCATCAGTAAGAGGATCATCATTCTAGTTATTTGCGGAAATTTTTGCTGGATAATGTAATAAATAACAGATTAAATTGCACAATTTAAAACATATTCTTTAAAGCTGCAGTAAATATATCTCATCGAAGCAATCTGTGAAATATACTTAAGATAAGCTCTCACCATACAGTATCACTTCTAGAAAATGTTTAAATAAAAAAACGATTAACTAACGAGTATTTAGAATATTTTTACGGGAATTCAAATACTTTGACATCTATTGAACTTTAAAAAAAATATAAAGGAGGGAGGGGTATTGTGTGTGTAGCCTTTGTTGTTCCACATCACTCATAATCTCAATCGCTATATCAACCAGGCATTCTATTAAGAGATTTCTATCTGGTCTAGTGTTTAGAAGCAAACACACAAATCTATTAATCTAAGTGTCTTAGAATCTTACATACTTACTTAGAAATATCATAAAGCCTCATTAATTTTTAGTTATAGCGCATTCAATATTTTTACATAAATACCTTACATCAAACATAAATTATTGTCTTATTGTAAAGAAAAGTTATTCATTTTTAAATGTCTTGAATCTAATTTTATATAATTGTACATTCTTCATTTAATTTGCTTTATGTGCAAATTTTTTTATTGACTTTATTTTCAGTTTGAATGAATCAAAATTTATTTTATAAATGTTTTAGAAAATTAAAAAAATCTGGTGCACATTTTTGAAAAAAGAATTTATTATTCAATTATTATGCTTAGAATAAACAAAGGTAAATAACAAAAGTTATTTTCAAAATTCATTTAAAGGTATCCATACGTTCAACCGTGTTTTTAAAAAGCGTGTAAATGGATAATATTTTGATATTTGCGTCCTTAGATTGACAATGTATATAAAAAAAGGGGTTTAAAAAAGTATTCAATAAAAAAATTTTTTAAGTAAAATTTTGACAAAAAAAAATTTAGGCAACTTTTTTCCAAATATTCCTTTTTTAAAAAATTTTAATTGTATTAATATTTTGCCTATAAACTCAGACCCCGTACAGAGGTCAACTAAATTTTTTGAAAAATTTAACTCGGAAGTCCCGGGTTTTTTTTTCCCTGTTTTTCGAAAAAAGAAGGAGAAATTTTTGAAAAAACCCCCTAAATTTCCAAATGGTTTTAACCCGAAAAAAATGTGATTTTTTCAAAATCATAGTTGAGCCTCTCTGTACGGGTCTGTGCTATATACGGGTAAATATAATACAATAGAACATTTTTACAAAAAGGAGCTGGAAAAGTTATTCAAGTTAATTTTTGCCAAAATATTTATTTA